AGGAGCTTGGGCTTTATTTGCTCCACAAGCCACCTTTTTTTTACAAAAAAAAGAGTTAAAGATTTTTTTTTTTTTTTTTCTTTTAAATATGACCACATTATTTACATGATTCTCTAAATCAATAATGTGACTAAAAAATTTTATGGGTGTAACATACCATCCTTTATTAGGTAATTGACAGACAAATGATGATCCACTTAATGTGTGTTGCGATTTTTCATTTATCGAAAATACTATATAAACAATATCACATAATACTCTAAGATTATTTAATTTTTTTATCTTAACAACTCCCACATAAATAGTTAGTTCGAGGTAATTTGATATTTAAAATGATTACTCTAAACTAAACTTTTCAGATTTTTTAGATTTTGTAAATTTTTTATTTAAAATTTACTTTTCTTACATTTTTGGGGAAATTGAAAATAAAAATAACAATAAAAACCAAACCCTTGTAACAAAATAAACCTCGAGTTTTAATTTTGTCAATTTAAACTCTAATCTTTTCGATTTGTTTTCAATTTAAACCACATTTTGTCAAGTAAAATTGATAGAAAAAATAGTATTTTAGTCTTAAACTCAACAAAAAAGAGTATTTAAGACATTATGTATGCCTACATTAAGCTTAATGGCTAAAATACCCTTCTTTTTCTTGGTTTTACTTAACAGAAGCATGCAAATGGTTTAGATTGGAAACATATAAAAAGATTAGGAATTAAGTTGATAAAATTAAAAACTCAGGGTTTATTTTGTTATAAAGGTCAAACCATAGGTTTTTTTTTTTTTTTTGGTTTTCGGTAATTTTGCCTACATTTTTTATATTAAAAACGACTAATTAAAACTTGTACAATGCATGAAATAAAATAATTTTATTAAAAAATAATGTTTTGTACATGTCAACTCCTAGTAGTAAATATAAAGAATTAATTAATGATTTTTAATCTCAAAAAGTGAAAAAGTAAAATTTAAATCAAGATTGAAAAATATAAAAACAAAAAAATAAAAGTATTTAAAAAATAAAAAATAACTCATTTAAAGTAGTCACTTTATTAGATACTCCTGGTGTACCATGTGACATTGTTTATATAGTATTCTTGACAAATGAAAAATCACCATACACATTAAGCAAGTTATCATTTGTCTCTTAATTATCTAATAAAGGTGAGTCAACATCTCCCCAATTCACAAAATTTTCCACTATATCATTGATTTGAAGTACCATGTAATAATAATGTACCATGTAAATAATGTTACAATAATGCTACTCTTACCACATTTCTATACCATATTATGCTTGCTTACTTGTCAACACATTATGGTATAATGAGTCCAACCATCACAATATACGAATTCACCAATGCAATGGTACAACTAGATTGACTCATCAGATGGTAAGATAAGATATAGATGGTCACTGTAACATTACTCTTAATGTTATATGATGCTTAGAGAAGTTAAATGGGTCCCACCACTTATGTATGTTACTAATATAGTGATGACACATAACATTGTACATCAAATATGGCAGAAAAATGTGGTGTATCTTCTATTCCTCTGCTTAGAGACTACTAATTTTTGGTCAATGAAGCGAAAGGGAAGGCGATGTGCTTGAGAAGGGACAATGATACTACTAGTTAGGTTTGATGCTTCCACTTATTTATTTATTTTTCTGGTTCTGAACCATGTTTCCATTTTCTTCTTTTTCATTAAACAGTGAGGCAAGCTCGCCGAGGCTTCGTGATTGTTTTCGAGACCATTTTTTGTGATCCATAGAATTACTCTTTGTAGTAAAGCTAGGGACCACGAAATAAAATCACGAAATTATTCCCAAAAACAAGCTAGCGCAACATGCCACTTCACTCGTAAGCCTGCTTTTGTCGCAAGAAGGAGAGGGATTTTGTATTGTTTGTCCCAAGGGTTTTGTTTTTGTTTCACTACTTGAAGCATTTTAAATTTTAATTGCTTTGATTAGCCCTTTTTTTAATAATGCTAAAGGGTTGTTATATATGATGGCAATATTTTTATCAATTATCTTCAGTTCATATGTAATTTCTTATCTAGCATGATAAGTTTCATTATTTTTAAAAGACATTGTTAACGTGTGCCCTTAAGAACATGGTTGTTAAAATCGCGATCCGGATCGTACGATTCTACGATCCTACTCTGCCAAAGCGATCCAGATCATTGTAGGATCGATGTTATAACAAGATCGCAAGTAGGATCGTGTAGGATCGCATGGGATCGTCTAGGATCGTATGGAATCGTATAGGATCACAGGTAAGATTGCAAGTAGAATCGTAGATTTTATGATTTTTGCCTTATTTTTAATATGTATCATTTTAATTTTAATTTTTATCTTTTTTTTTAATAGAAAGTAGGATCTTACGATCCTCGACCCGATCCTACAATCCAATCCACCAGACCCTCTCACCGATCCTACTTAAGATCCCGATTTTAACAACCTTGCTTAAGAAGACTCATTTTCAAAATACAATGAGTTCTACACATAGATATAGCTTTTATTGCATGAATACATATAAGAGGTGAAATAACTATGGCGATAAATAACATTTCGACACCGCTATGGCACATGTTTTCAAGTGTCTGCTTCATATTATGTAATCAGCCTTTATAGGAATATAAAAAGTCATGAATATGTTTTTCAAGAGGAGTTAAGTTTCGAGAATTTGAGATTGTATTGTGTGAATTTGTCGAACAGTTGTGAACCTTTTTTCCTCTCTTCTTCTTTGTAGGATGATGTTCACAACCATAGGACAAGCCCTTTCCAATCCCTAAATCCTAGACAATCAAGTTCAAATCTTCCCCGACCATTCTCCCTACCCTTTGGTCACTAAATCCACACTATCACACCCGAAGCCCAACCATTTAAGGGTGGTGACCACCTTGTCTAGTTGTCAATTTTAACAACTAAGCCAAACAATAAAGCATCTCACGATCGACAGGGTCACCATGAAGTTGACAAGCACTAAACCATTGGGATCCACATGCCCTACTCCTAACCTAGGCAAACATAAATTATCTCGTTGCATTTGTAGTCAAAAGGTAGTATACTTTGGAAACAAGTGTATTTATGGGGGCCTCTTCCCTCCTGAAGAGAAATAGTACCTAACACAACCTAAATACTTGCAAGCATTATAGCATGTGGTGATTTGGTGAAGGCCCCATAGGACATGTTGTCCCACTACATGTATGGCTCTTAACTGGCCCATGTAATGGGTGTGAAGGGAAAAAGTTTCCAAGTTTCAAAATCCACACCCACACATCTACTAATATCTCAATTCAATACTATAAATTGGGCAAATTTCTGATAGTTGTGACACTTGCATCGAGACACGCCAAAAAACCCTAAGGTGTCAAAGAGTAATCACAATATACGAATTTCACAGCCAAACATAGATCTTCAAGAGAATAACTAATATTTCTATTTGAAGAGCATCTTCAACCCACTAGGCGTATAATGCCTGTTAAAAATGCCTAGTATAATTCATTTTTTTCAACTCCAACGCACTAGGTATATGATTAGGTATTTTGTCTCAACTCACATGCACTAGCTAAATGTAACTAGCCTTCAAAGGCTAGGCAATGTTTGACCCTTATGATCCTTTTTCCTCCATCTTTGTTACTGATGTGACATTCCATAAAGTGAGTAGTATTTGGATGAATAGCTAAAATAAAAAAATGAGTTGAAGTGGAAACATGGAAAAGTGGATAAGCAACATAAAATATGTACATTATATAAACTTTTAGATAGGTAAAATGCCTATTAACATTGGAGATGTTCCAACACGCCTCACAAGAAGATAGAGTCTCAAATAAGTGTTGTTTGGCTTCTGCACATTCCACAAAACTAGAGCATAGTACGAGTACCCACATATACATTACCTAGCTCACAACCATAAACAAACATAGTATGAGTGCTTACAAAATTTGTAGGGTCCAATATGATTTTTGCTTAGAAGTGCTTGAACCTCAGTAGGATTAGCTATGCCTATGATGCAAACCAACACTGTGCCATGTAACTGAAAACTGAAAAAATGAAGTGCACATTTCCTAGTTTTTTTACCTCTTTATTCATTTAACACAAATGCTCGATTAAGTTATTTACAAAAAGTAAACAAAATCTGCAAGTCCAATAGGAATATAATTTATACCCAGCATTTGGTTGGAATGACTGAACTCAAACCCACCATAAAAGAAACACAACTGGCTCCTCTAATGTGACCCAGGCCTAGACTAGTGACAGTGCTAATACAACTGGCTCACTGACAGTGCTAATACAATATTTCAATTTCAACCTCATGGTGGGCTAGACATATTTCCAAATTAATTGGTGTTTTGCTCACAAAAGATACAACACCCGATCAGAGAAATCTCATCTGAGGTTAAAGCTATCCACCACCCAAAAAGCATAAAGACAGCTAAGACTGGGCGAACACTTAAAATTTTAAATTAAAATCAAAATTTTAAAAGACAGGGTAATGCAAATGGAGACTAGAACAAATTAGTTAATGTCTAGAAATAAAACAAAAAGAGCACACAAAAACAAAAAGCCCCCGGCCCCCTTATTATAAAACTCTTAAACAGAAAGTTGACTTAGCTCTGTCAGATTATTGAAAAGGTGGATAACATTTATAAAAATAAAAAATAAAAAATAAAAAATAAAAAATAAAAATAAAAATATAAAACTTGAAATATAAAAAAAATTAAAAATTAAAATACTAGACCAGATCACTGGAAATATTAACAATGATAATAATATATATCAAATATGTTTTCCCCATGTTCATATCTTGAAAAATAAAATGAAACAAAACAAAAAAGAGCTTCAAGATTAAAGCTTGTCTTATCTAGTTCAGCATCATTTGCACAATGTGTTAAAACTTAAGATACAACAATGTAAACTCAAGAGGGTTGCAGACCATGGTATACTTAACTACTTTGTTTCAAGAGGAAAACTGCAGCATTTTAGAGAATGTTACCTGATCAGAATCTCTCCAAGATTTCCAGTAAATTGTCCCTCAATATATTCTTCACTGTTGGCCAACTGCAGATAAGATTCAATTAATTCAAAAGACGAAATTTAGGTAATTAAGTACTGCAAAGAAAGGTTGACTTAGCTGAATACAAAACAATTCCTTATTTCAGATATAGTCATGACATAAATCATGTGCGGGAAACAAGTAAAACATGATTCAAATTCAACAATAGCATAGCAAAATGCAATCTTACACCGCACAAACTATTCAACATGGTAGCTGAGGAGCTGTAAATTATCCCATGATATATGACTAATGAGCATATGCACACATAATGCCTCGGGAGAAATAAATAACAAAATAGTTTTGAGGGTGTTACCTGCAAGTTCATGTATGAATCCACTGACACAAGAAAACCTACAAAATAAATAAAAATGGATCTAATTATGCATTATTTTTTTTCTTTTTCTAGTTTTTTTTTTTTTTTTTTTTTGAACTAGGGTGTTTGGATCAAAGATCAACTAATCCCCAGAGGTGCACAAGCCCTCAATTTCTCACAAGTCCACCACAGTTAATTCAAGGATTTTCTCCCAATCCGATGGCCCAAGGAATTGTTAGCACCTAAGAGGTTTTGATCCCTATACCTTGGAGGGAGCACACCCCCAAGACCCAAGGCCTTGTCACCAGGCCAAGCCCTTGGGGTTGATCTAATTATGCATGTTGGTTAATAAAAATCCTACTATTAATCATAACATAGACCAAGTAATACAAGAAAAGAAAAGAACATATAACCAAAAGAAAAGAACATATAACCAAAAGAAAAGAATATACATATATATATATATACCTTTGTATTCCATTCCCCACTTGAGCTTTACGATGACCTTCTTCCCAGTCAAATTGTTCAAGAAAGGTTTAGGGTTAACTGGTACAGTCTGCAACAATGCAAGGTATTATATCATGGAAAATTAGGTAAACTGGTGAATCTAATTCAATCTTAAACTATGCACTTGAGTGAAAGTCCAAATCCATAACCCCTGAAGCAGAAAGGCCTGATTTTGTAGCCAATAATGCCAGGAAAATGAATTCAGAATCAATAAAGAAAATTCATGTATGATGCATAAAATGCCGATCTTAGTATACTACTCAATGTTGTACCAAAAACACTCAGAATAATATCAAATAATGTCATTTAATAACCACAAGCAGTGATACGCAGAGATTAAAACTTTTCAAGAGTCAAAAAGGGGGAAACGGATTGGTCCAAGGAGTGATCTATAAAATTGAAGCAAATTTGTTTGTTTCCAAAGAAAATGTTTTACGTGAAAGAATTATCTCGGTAAAAGATCAGAAGAATGTAGTATGGAAGAATTGAAGTAAGAGCATCGAAAACTCACCGCCATTGAAGATGTTCAAAGCAAACCCCGCTTTTTGGATTCCAAGTTTGACTGAGCTGAGGGTCTAGCCTAGGGTTTTGGAGAGAGAAACCCAACGCCTCCTTTGGAAAAACATGATTTTAGCTTAAAAGTTAAAAATTTAATAAATAGTGTTGTTTGGTGAAAAAAATTATATTTTTTATATAAATATATTTATTTAGGTCACATTAATTAATATTTATTAATATTTTATTTTTACTTTTCTATCCGAGTAATATTACATACACTAATTAATTTAGGACTGGTTTGACAACTCTCATATAATCTAAAAAGTCAAAAAGTTACACAAAAAGTAAAAAAAAAGACATTACTATTCACAAATAAAAAATATTAAAAAAATATTTTATATATGTTTTTATAATACAAATTAGAGAGTGCATGTGACAACTGTCTTTGTGATTGACACCAGAGTTCGGATCGTCGGCCGCTTATTCCTACGGCCTTCCCTGCGGCCCATCCAAAATGACGTCGTTTTGGTGTTTTTTTTTTTTTGGCATCTCAGCTCCTTTTCGCATCTCTTCTTCTCCATAGCCATCCATTGCTATGTCTTGATGTATCTAAAAAGCATAACTCATTTATAGCCATTCCTTCTCAGCCCCTTTTCGCACCTCTTCTTCTCCATCTCCTTCTTCTTCCTTTCTATCTACAGAACTACCAAACACACCATCTTTTGTTCTCCATCTCCTTCTTCTTGCTCTCTTCTCTCTCTAAAAACTACCAAATCACACCCACCACAAAATAAACCCAAAAAGAAAATTTGCAAACCCATAAGCTTCTCAAATATAAATTCAATATAGATGCAATCTCAAATCTGCAAACCAAACCCACCACCTCTTCTTCTCCATCTCCTTTTTCTTCCTTTCTATGTATAAAAACTACCAAACTCACCATCTCTTCTTCTCCATCCCCTTCTTCTTCCTCTTTTCTCTCTCTAAAAACTACCAAATCACACCCACCACAAAATAAACCCAAAAAGAAAATTTGCAAACCCATAAGCTTCTCAAATATAAATTCAATATAGATGCAATCTCAAATCTGCAAACCAAACCCACCACCTCTTCTTCTCCATCTCCTTTTTCTTCCTTTCTATGTATAAAAACTACCAAACTCACCATCTCTTCTTCTCCATCCCCTTCTTCTTCCTCTTTTCTCTCTCTAAAAACTACCAAATCACACCCACCACAAAATAAACCCAAAAAGAAAATTTGCAAACCCATAAGCTACATTGATAGGATATCGTTAACTATAAAATCAAATCAGTTTTGTATAAACAAAACGAATGGTGTGATAGTTAACTATTGAAAAAAATTAATCCGATCATATAGCTATCGATATCCGATCAACGTGATTTTTTTACAAGTATATAATACTCAACGAGTTCTACATATTGACGGTTCGAATTATGAAAACGGAACCCTTAATGGCCCCCACGGACCAACCATCACTGCCCAAACACTTTGCTCTGAATGAGACAATAATTTTCTATGCAAACATGCAGGCAGCCGCAGGGCAGCCGTACGACCAATCAAATTTCTTCCACTATATAATTTATTTATACAATTTTTTATTACACATTTTTTCGTAAAAAAATAAAAAGTTAACCCAAGCATCCATCTTTTTTTCCTCAACTTTTTAGTTCAAAAAGACAAAAAATATACTTATTTAGAACACCTTAAACTACCCATTAGTAACTAGTGTACCAATTAATGATGTGATATAATTTAAAATATTTTTGGTATTTATAATTTATATAATGAGTGAAATCAATAATAAGGTCATAACTAGTGTTTGTATACTAGTTAGTACCCTAACTGGTGTATCTACTTTTTCTACCAACTTTCTCTACTTTTTTACACATTTTTTTTTATAAAAAGTCAAAAAGTATACTTATTTACCATCTATCTCTACTATAAATGTGTAAAGAGTTTTGCCATATTTTTTATTTTTTTAAATCTCCATTTTATTCTTTCAAATTTATTATATTTTTAAAAATCATGAAGAATCTTATATAAATCAATTATTTATTTATTTTTAGGGTGAAACACTAATAAATCCTAAAACGTAATCTTGTGAACGGTTTAGTCCTTTCTTTTTTCTTATAAACCTAGAGGTCCCATTAAAGTAGAAATTACATAAAAGAATAGTCACTCACTTATTTGGGTTTAATTTTTTAAGGGATAAAAGTGATTTTCTCAAAATGTAAAATTACACATTTTGGCAATTTGAACTATAGAAGTTTTGGATTTTCTCTCATTTTAAAACAAATCCCACATTTCGAACAAAAACATAATACTCTAATGTAACACTCCAATAACGTAACATTTCAATGTAATACACTAAAAAACCTTATTGGTATATTTTTCTAAACGTAACAACGTAACACTCAAAAAAAAATTCTTTGGTTACTTTTTCCAAACGTAACACTCCAATATAAAAAGAAAAATAAAAAAATCTTAGTATACTTTCCCCAAACGTAACACTTCAATCAATGTAATCCCAAATGTAACACTCCAATATAACATACTCCAATGTAACACACAAAAACATTAAAAAAACTTCTTAGTGTACTTTTTTCAAGCGTAACACTCACAGTTTGAAATTATATATTTGTTCAAAACTTACTAAGGAATATTTATACTCCTTTGAAAATGGTTTGAAGAATTTTACATTCTTTTAATTTAATTTAATTTTATTTTATTTTTAGTGTCACATCGGAGTGTTATGTTTAGGAAAAGTACAATAAGAATTTTCCCATTTTAAAATATTTAGGTGGCGACTCTGTATCTGGCAAAGCAGTCCATGTTTGGCACTACTTTTTCAAAAATCTGTTTCTCAAAACGATTTGCCAGATTTGGACTCTTTGGTTCAGATTAAGAACCGCGACAACAAAATCGCGAGTCCGAACTGTAGTAGCATAAGGCCCCCCCCCTCCGCGGGCGCGTTTACACAAGGCAAACCAAAATAGAAGAAAATAGTTAAAAAAAATTGCATGTCCTAATATATGCAAATGACTAATGCAACACATACAAAATGCAAAAGTTTGGTTTCCTAAAATGATATATGGCTTAACTCAAAGCATGCAATAGCTCATGTACTCAATTAAGTGGAAAATAACAAGAAGTTTAGAATGATGAACCTAACCCAATGCATGCAAAAATGGATACAAGGCATGGCAATGATATGAAAATGTAAAATGTGATACTACCATTATAAGCGTATAAATAAAAGGGGAAAAATGGGGATTGGAAGACATACACAATATTACAAGTGTGCCCTCATACAAGAGGGTCCGAATGTCCGAATTTAAACTAATTATTACAGCACCAAATTAACTAATTTAACTAGCTATTACAATTTCGAACGAATCTAATGAATTTAAACATAATACTATCAAAGAATTAAATTAAAGGACCATGGGAAATGAAGCGTCACACGTGCACAAACGAGAACTTCCTCCCGGAAACTTCTTTATGTCGCTGCCAGAATCTGTTCTGTTTGCAGTCAAAAAATTAATCTGTTTTTGCCCCTAACTTCTGCTCTGTTTTGCCATGAAAACGGAACTGCCTGTATAAAATAGAGTGGCTAGCCGGCCTTTGAAAGTGTTCCGCTGGGCATAAAGGTGGCTGGTCGGCTACTATTTTTGAGTACTGCCCTACTGCCATAAAAATGAGACAGAGCAAAAACAAAGTGTTTTCATGAGATGTTTGTCTTTTCTGTCTCTCCCTATCATGAAGCTGATCAAGGGAGGAATAGATTCGGTTCGCAAACCATCAATATTCGCAAAGTTGTTACATGATGATTTATGAACCGATAGGACAAAGGCTCAATGAAGAGAAATAAAAGACCAACAAAACCTTATCCTTGTCATGGAGTTACCTCAAGGGAATTGATAGACATTGATTCTTGACTCATTAACATCACTAAAGAGTATGTAATGATTCAAGACTCAATAGGTTCAATTTAATGTCCGATTGAATCCAGCTAGATTTTATTATCTTTTTGCAACTTTTGTTCTAATTTTAACCTCTTTTACATTACCTTGCCATTCTTTATTCATTTTGTCCAAAAGTGATAATTATGTCCACTAATGAAGAGAAGTATCAAGCAAGACGTTGTGCTTAGCATGAGAGAGATGTAATGCCTTAATGAATCTCTGAAGAGATTAAACCATTAAGCATAGAAGGTCTCTTTCTCATGCCTTAAACAACAATCAATTATTTGAAATAACTCTTAAACAAAGAAAACCAAGAAAGGAGGGAGGTTGAAGAGATGATTATTACAAGTGTGAGTATATGTATGAAAACTATGGAATAAAAAGCTATCAACTTAAATAAATTGGTGTCTAAGGCCTAAACCACCAAATCTATGAGGACTTACAATAGCACAAGCATCATATTCAAAGCATAAAGTAAATAAACAACTAAAATAGTCCCAAAATTAATAAAAGCAGTGCTGAAACTTGGTATGGAAGGCTAGAAAAAGTAAGCAAAAATGGGAGAGAATTAAAGCTAGTAAGCAAGCCTAGGGAATGGTGGCTAACCCCTCTAATTTTTGGACCTTAAAATCACATGTTTTAGCCTCTGAAAACTCTGAAAATCAATAGCCAAAAGTTGAGAAACAAGTGGTAAACACAAGGATACAAGTTATGGAATAAAGTTCAAAAAAGGGTGGTTAACCCCTCCACCTTTGGTAGCTTATAAATCACAAGTTTCAGCCCATAAAAACAGTCCAAAAACAGTGTAAAAACAACAAGGAAAAGATAAGAGAAGAATAGTTTAAACAAGGAAAAAGTTATATCTTTGAATAGAAGGTACTCCTTGGTTCACAAACCACAAAGTGTTCACCCTCAAGAGCTGAAATTTTGGCTCAATAATCTTAGCAAGGAGCCTCAAATTTTTGGTTTAGGAAGTGTATGTATAGTGTATGTATATTGCAAGATAGGGAGGAAGAGTGTTTTGCAAGTTTTTGGCCTTTGGCAAATTTTTCTAACCTAAAACCATGAGGGATAATCACTTATTTATAGAAAAATAAGTTCCTTAGTCGGAAATATCTATATGGAGCTAGCTGGTACAAGGCATGCGCATGGGGGGGACAGCTGGCAGCAAATATCTGTTTGCTGGGAAACATGGACGGCCGACTATGAAGACCAACCAGTAGATACAACTAAAAAAGTTAATAAAGATCTTACTGGACCTTTTCCTGGAGGGCCAGATGATACTTCAATTTTGAAGAGTTTTCATTGTCATGGAGCAGCAAAAATTTGGCATAATGATGTAAGTCATTGTCTAACATTAATTTAATGTTTTAAATTTTGTTTCAACTTTACTGATTCTTTTTATTTTTATTTTTACTTTTTATTCTATGTTGTAATAACGAGGAATACTTAAATGCTTAAATCATGGTTTTAAAGTTGGCGAATGATCAATCAACTTGGAAGAAAATGAACAGTCCAAATTTTATGGTTTAATTATGGATTCAAGGTTGATTTCTTTAGTGAGTTGCTCATATAAATTTGTAAACAAAGTTGTAGTTTCGGCCTTTGTGGAAAGATGGCAGCCAGAGACAAACACATTTCATCTACTATTTGGTGAGACGCCACCAACCTTAAATAATGTTAGTGTAATTCTAGGGATTCCAGTGATTGATAAATCTGTGTCTTGCAAGATGCTATCAAATGTTGACGCTGCAAATCTTCTAGTTGAGGCTTTGGGAGTAACAGTAGATGAGGCAAATGTAGCGTTAAAGGTAGCATGGGGCCAGTCTATAAAGGTAGAATGGTTGAGACAATGGTTTAGGTCAGTGTGTGATGCGGACAATGATAATACCATTGAGTGTACAGCTACGACATATTTGTTATATTTGTTAGGTTGTACATTATTTGCAGACAAGACTGGCACACGTGTTCCAGTAATGTATTTGCCTTTTCTTATGGATTTGTAATAAGTTGCTTCTTATACTTGGGGGCAGCCCCATTGGCTTTTTTATACCAGCAATTGTGTACTGCCACAAGGTATGCCGTGAAACAGATGGCGGGATACATGACATTGCTAGAAGCTTGGATTTACGAGAATTTTTTTGGTGCTAGACCCCACCCCAATTTGGACTATAAAGAAGATCAGTCTCGTGTCTTTCGTTGGATTTGTCGCACCCAATCTGGTTTGTCAATGTGTATTTTACAAAGGTTGCAAGAGGATCTTCACAGATTAGAGGCCCATGACGTAAGTGTCAATCTTAACTCCATGTATGTACATATTACTTGCTATTATTCAACCTAATTCATAACTTACATATAAATTTTTGACTACTGTAGGTTATTTGGGATCCATACCATGATAAATGTATTGAGCATCCTTTTTCTGATGTTACTTACTATAGTGGATGCATAAAATGTATGCAGATTGTTGAACTATACCATCCGAATAAGGTGCTGAGACAGTTTGGCAAGGTGAAAACTATTCCTTCACCTTCGCTTGCTCTAGTTCAAGCCTCTAGAGGATCCACATCAAAACAGTACAGCATTGCCTATAAATACTTGGATACGATTTGGGAGAGTTGGGAAAATCACTTGTTGTTTGAGACGACGCATAGTGTTCTAGTCTTCCATCCATGGGATTGTGTGCCAAGTTACTTGGACTAGTTTACTTCCATTTCACACTTACAAGTTCAAAACTCGACACATCGTTCTAAGTATAAGCCACGCACTGAGACATCAGCTGATTATCGTCAGCTTCAATTCGTATGTCAACTTTTCACCTTTTCATTTTTCATATATATTTTGTTTAAGGAAATTATGAAGTTTTATTTTCTTGTTTGCAGCGCATTGACAGTGCCTTGTGCATTTCATGTTCAATGAACGAAATCGGATACAATGAAGCAGCTCACACTCGAGATATGTTACGCAATGCTATGAAGCTGATAACACAAGTCTTGGAGGGCCAACAATCCACTAAAGAACATACACCATAAGAGAACTTGGTGTACACTCGTCACACGAAACGTGGAGCAACGTCTTAGACTTTAGTATTTGTTGGTTTTAAATGTTTAAAATGTGCATTTTGAAATCTTAGTCTCAAACATATGTTAGACTTTATTATATGTTAGACACAAGTATAACAAAGTTCAGATAACACTTCAGTATATATTAGTTTGTCTGAGAAATATTTTTGGCATACATTTTGATAGTGGTTTATATATGACACAAGTATGAGCTAGGCTTGTATATGACTTTACCATACCTTTTTGTGCACTCAATGAATTATTTTGATGGTGTTTGATGGTTTAGCAAGGATATTGAAGTCAATGAATTTGTTTGGAATCGGTTTGATGATTTGAATTGGTTTGATAGTTTGTTTGTTTGAAATATTGGTTTGTTTATTGCTTTATGGTCATCACTGAATAAACAAATCCCGACTAATGAATGAGCAGAAATTTTATGTTCATCACTGACAAACCAAACAAATCCTCGTTCAACACTGTAAAACCGAATCAAAATGACTCACTTGGCACTATAATGTTGAACAAGTAGTCTTCGTTTAGGACTGTAATACTGAACATATATGGTTTTTTCAGTACTGCAGTGCCAAACATAAATGCTTGCTGGCCCAATCACAGTTGCTGACCTAATCATTTCAGCACTGTGTAATCGAATAAAAACAATTTGTTCAACACTATATGGCCGAACAAATATACTTTGTTCAGAACTGTTTTGTCGAACAATAGTGATCCTATCAGCACTATATGTCCAAACAAAATTTGTTCACCACCATGTAACTTGAATCCATTCCAATTCACTTTTTTCATTAACTTTAATTCAGTATAACACATAAAATAACATCCATTTCTATTTACTATTTACCATTCTAATTCATTATAACAAAGAAAATAACATGATTTAAATCCACTCAAAATACATAACTTTAATCCATTCCAATTCACTCTTTTCCATTCTAATTTAGTATGACAAAAAAATAACATAACTTAAATCCATTCTAATTCTGTTTCATTTGAAATGTTGTACTATGGAATTGTATGCAAACCTCTCAGCCTACTACACAATGGTTATGGTACCTCCACCAGTTAGTTGCTATGGGTGAAATAGGATGACCAGGCTCCAAAATGAGCTACAAAAAAAATTAAAAAAAATATTACAATGTACAAAAATGTTGTCGTTATTAAGAAATGTTGTTGTTAGAATGTACAAGAATGTACAAAAATATTAGAATGTACAAAATATTAGAAACCAATACTTGAACAAAATGGTTGTTGTTGACAAAGCCAATACATATCTCCTTGCAAGAGGCAACAAACGTCAGAATTGACCTAAGAGGGAGGAATGTCAAACATTGTTACATGGACAAGTGGACCAAAACGACTTGGTAGAGAGACGATATAAGATGAACCATGTCAGGCATCATCATCCATCAATCTAACCCAGGGTTTGGTTCAAAATATGCCAAGATATTGGTAAGGTCATCAATTCTCTCTTGTGATCCAAATAATTTCCTATAGTAGTCACTATGTCCATGCAACTCTTTAAGTAAATCTTTTCTAACTTGTAACCATCCTTCTTCTCTAAAACCCATCAAACCAGCAATAACTTGGAACCCACAATTGCCATCTACTGCAACATCCTTAACGTATTTAATATATCATCTCAATTTTGAAGCGGATGCCTCTAACAAGCAATTTGGATTCAATGATCGAAGCCGGTGAACCTATCACAGCCTAATGCCAATGTTAGACAATAAAGTAGACAACATAACACAATTACATACCTCACTAGTAAACCACGTACCTTTTTTGCCTTCTTTCTTTTCACCTTTTTTGTTGTTACACTCGCCTTGGCAATGACTCCGAGTGAATAACTATCTTGTGCTGAAGCAAATAGTTCAAACGCAGATGGCTCACGTCGAGTAGAGGTCTTAATCTTCAATTTGGGCCGACCCTGTGGATTAGACTTCACTTCCAGCTCAATCAGAAATGTACAATTAGGTTTGGTTAACTCTCTTAATTTCTGTAATAAAAACCTCTTCACATCTGGATCTACCTCCTCGAATCGTTTGGCAAGCAATTCTAACTCAGGTGTACAAGCCCACCTTCACTTACAGTGTGTGGGGTACTCAACATATCAAGCTTAGTCCAACATGAATGAACTGAAGTGAGAGGAATTAGCCGATTTTCCCTCATGTAATCTGCTATCTCATGCACACATGGCAAACCATGAGTACGTCGAACGACACATCCATATACAGCAATATCAATACCAACAGAAGGTGCTCATTTGAACTCTACCAATATGATCTCTAATGCAGTAATTGAGACATTACCACGAAGCTCCTTAAACTGCATAGGTTTGAAATCATGTTGCACAACTATCTTGCTTTTCTCAAATGATGATTTTATTTCACTATGTTGTAACTCAAGTAAATTGTGTATCCTTGTCCAATTCGACTCAAAATTTCTTTGACTTGATGCAAGATTTCTTTTAAGTTTTGCATATGAACTCTCAACCCTATACATGAAAATAAACTGTTATAAAAATAATGTTATAAAAAACTAAACAACTAATAAATTTAAATGTTCATATTTACCTATTTGTTGTTGAATTTCCAAAGTGCATAAATGTGTCATCCAAGCAACCACAAATTTTCTATCCAACCAAGATGAGGTAAATGAAGTGCATCTTGATAAGTACTGAACTCACTATGTAACAAAGATAGTTGTTGCATGTACACTTCTTCAGATGATGACATAACCAACACATTCAAACTCCTTATAAACATTTTCCATTTATCTTGTCTCAAACATCTTTTTGCAATTAGCAAGCACATTTTTACCAATATGCCATCTACACAACAATTTTGAAGTTCTGGGAAACACTGTACATATGGCATTCATAAGGGTCAATTCTCTGTCTGTCACAATAATAGAAGGAAGTGTATTTTCATCTATGACACTATGCAAAATACCAAGTGCCCATGCGTAGTTATCCTTTTTTTCATACTGGAGGTATGCAAATGCAACTGAAAAGGTCATGTATGTCAATGTCATACCTACAATCTCCAGAAGGGGCAACCGATATCGATTGGTCTTATAAGTATAATCCATCAACAGTGCTTTTGGGAATGCACATAACAAATTCAAACTTGCAGGATATGCAAAGAACAAATTAATCATTGTTTCAGTATTTGCACAACTCCTATGCCACTCAACGTACTTGTTTACCGCTAACTGACCTAATAGTTGTTGGATTTGAGGTCTCCCAGCTTTCTTAGCAACTTTATACCTATGACATGCATTGTAAATTGTCTTCATTGTGGAAGTATTTGTATCATCACGTTGTTTCAACGTAACCAATATCTCACTTTGTCCTACCATACTCTTCAACATGTTTACGCACAAGTAGGTTTCATCATGTGGCAACCTTCTAGCATAAGAATGACCCTTAAGATATTCTGCAGTAGGATGATTATGCATACCATAGACAATCATCAAAATCCAGTCATCATTTGTGGCTAATTTTTTGCCTTTCAATAAAAAAGGACATTCACATGTTTTTTTTTTTTTTTACCAGTCAGTCTTGCTTTTTTTGTATTAGGCCTATTGTTTTTTCGAGTGTCCCTATAAGATCCACTCCTCTCATAAGCTAGGCTAAGTCTTTGCTTCCTACCACAAATACCACCCCCATCTGATTTCTACACGACAATAATGAATCCATTTCTTCTTCTAACTTGACGTGCCCATCGAATTAACTCATCTTGACTCTTGAATATCTTAAATAAATAAATTAAACTAACCAATTATTGCACATAAAAAAGGACAAAAACTGTACATTATTTGTAAAACAATCAAAGGCTCACCTCATGAGTGACAAATTCATTACTATAATCCATTACAAGTTCTAAATCAACCTTACTGCCTCTAGTCAGAGCATCACCCTGAAAACACATGTGAATGTAATTTCAAAATTGAAAAAATGATGTTCCGTTGAACAGTCCTGAAACTAATGGTTTTGTTCAGTTCAAGAGTGCCGAAAATAAAGATTATATTTGGTTCAACAGTATTGACTATCTGCATTAATGTTCAAAACCTATGTATTGAACAAAAGGATTATGTTCAGTATTGTAGTACTAAACATAATCCTAACAGTCAGCAAACCAGTATCGAGCAGCTCGAACAAAAGAAGAATGATTGAAAACGACCGAAAATGTTAATGCAAGACAAATAAACTTACCAATGGAACGCCGGTCTCATTAGAATTGTTCTCCTCATCCTCCATTGTTCTACACAGTGAAATATGTGATGAAGTATACGTTATACTTGAAGCAAAACTTTTTGGTTCAATAGTGTTGATGATGGTAATAAACATGACACATTCAGGGTTTAAGATGATTATGAAAAATAAATGGATTTAGGGTTAATGTTGGTTGGTTATGAAGAGTAATAGGTTTAGGGTACACAAACATGGAATATGTATAGCTGGAGTTGGAGTTGGAGTTGGAGGTGGAGGTGGGAGTGGGTGTCCAATATTATAGAGTATTAGTTCTTATTTGATAGATGGGTTTTCCATTTAATAATGTCTTTTAATGTAATTTTAGTTTAGGGTATAATTATAATAAAAAAAAATTATAAATTGAG